AGCTTTGTACCGATACCTAAATTTCATCAAGGTAAGTTGTTCATATATCTGAAAATCTAGCCGTGTGAAGGTAAAGGATATCTTGTAACAAAGGAAATTTATCTAAGCGGCAAGTCACGGCATCGACGTTAATTAATTCGATGATATTTCTTGTGCAAGAAAGTGATTTTGTTGTGTAATGATATGTGATCGACGCTTTATACAATTGTGAATTGTTTTCTTTTAAGTGTGATCAGAACAATTACGATAGCAAGCTCGTGATAAAAAAGCTTGTATGTATGGCATGCAAACAGAACTCAGTCGAGAACAAATAAGTAGGGGCAGGGGTGGGAGGTAATATACTTTTTTGAAATAGCGGGTTACTTTTCAACAGTGGAGGATATATACATTTTTATTTTGACTAGAAAGGAATGAATAACAAGATAAGCTCAATTTAATACAGTCAAATCAATAACAATACAACCAATACTGTAGAATTTTTCTTTCGTGGGAGGAGAGAGGAGTGGGCTTATTAGGGTAAAGACATTTTAGTCAGGAGGCCTTGATAGATATGGGGTACCTAAAGAGCAGTTGTGGCATTGAGCTCGCATGAATACTGGAGTATGGTCATTAAAAACCTCATGTCAGTGCCATTTAAGGAATGTAAGCTTCATTCCTCGATTGTATTTTGAATTTAAAACTTTTAAGTAATCATACATGATACTTGTTATGAACATAAACATCAAGGACACTTTTGAAAGTTTGGCAATGGGAAAAATTTGCATTGCAATTAGGGATTAAAGTATGTCTTAATTCTTAACTGATTGTCATCTCCCTAATAATAGCTGGTCTGGTTGACCATTTTTTTAGGTTGTGATGAGTAATATCAATCAAATATGCTGAATCTACCTGGTGTTGCAAAATGGTGACTAGTTTCAGAGTTTCAGGCAACATTGTTTTGGGGGGGGGGGAGGAGGTGGGTCTTGCAATAAACTTATTAAGGAGTTTATTTCAAGATTTACTTTTTACTTTGTTAAGTGTAAGGTTGTCAACCACCAAGTAAGGGGAGAGCAGGGTGCTGAGTACTTTGGCCATGAGTTTTAGCTTCTTGAATGTCAGGTTTTTTCCAAATTGTGAAAATTCCATACAAGTTGCAGATTACAAGTGAGAGGTTTTTAGTCATCTTAATGCTCCTGGATCATTGTGAGTGACCACATTATTTTTACTAAGCATTTTTTGGCTTTCTGATAAACATTTACTCAGTCCAAAGTAAAATAAGATATGCTTAAGGATATATAAAGAATATAGAATATCAATGCTTGGTTCAGGCTCCAAAGACAAGTGTCAAAAAACAAATTATACATAAGTAGACAAGACAGGCTTTACACACAATTTTCATGCATTTGAATGTATGGCTTCTAAACTGAAAGTAGGTTTGAGTATGTTAGGTTTTTCAAAATGTGGAATCTTTCTGCAAGGTTTGGGTTGTGAGTGACAGAGTTTTAGTCAGATCTTAATGCTCCTGGATCATTACAAGTGACCACATTTCTGTTACATTTACATTTTTTAACTTTGTGATATTGTTGTTTCCTTTGAAAGTGGGTATAGACATGACAAAATCTTCCAATAACATAGGCTCTCATCACTTGGTACAGTCCCAAACTGAACAACTGTTCATATGTAGACTAGTCAGTTGTTACCACAATTTTCTTGTGCTACAATTGTTGAAAGTAGGTTTCAGCCTGTCAGGTCTTTTTCAAAATATGTAATCTTAATGCATGGTACAGCTTACGAGTGACTGCTTTTTGGTCACTGGGCAAAACCAACTGTTTTGTACATGTATTTTTGTGCTGGCTTTTCTTCCCTCTGCATTTATTTCATTACCCAAAATAAGGGAGGGGGGCCCTCCCCTAGATCTGCCACTGGGTTATAAGCACACGTCATTTACTTCAAGCACTCTTCTTTTTCAGCTTGAGGATCATGTTTCAGAAGAAGACATTTCACTTCCAATGGACAAGTTGGATCACAGAGAGCTAATGGTATCTTGTGTAGGATAGTGAAAGAAAAAACATTAGAATTTGAGTCCCTTGTGAGGATTCAAACCTCATGCAGCCAGCCCAGAGAAGGCAATCCCAGCTGGGTGGAGAGTTTTGTGCGCTCCTCTCAGTGCTTGTTTATTTTTGCGTCCCGAGGAGAGGTGCAGTGCAGATTGCCCATACTTCGGTCTTACCCTTTGGTACCTCGGCAATGATATGCTCGTATCGTTTTTATTTTTATGCTTTATGGTTCCTACTTTTTTTTTTATTTGATACGTGCACTGAGCCGTTAAATAGGTCTCAAACCTGGAGGCCAGACCCATTTCGGTTGTCGGCTGTAACCACCAGAGGACTGTGTCTGTATTCGAGCAGGGATTTACTTTTCTCTTTTCTCTGGCACACTTGACATTCAGAGTCAAAGGAATGCAAAACAACTATAGCCAAGTTGAAGAGTATCTGCTTCTTAACTGAACAACATCAAAAAATTATGGCATTAGCAGAACTGAATGGTGACTGAAGCTTTCAGAGCTTAACTTGAGAGGGGCCACAAGAAGTAACTGTCTAAGTTATATCAGTCAAAAAATCAGTTATCTCTCATACATACTGGTTGTAAGGTTTTAAAAATATCAGTTTTTCAGTAAGTGGAATCTCAATGCCTAGCACAAGCTGCAAATGTCAAAATCCATATATTGCCAGGCTCCAGGAAGATGTAAGTGGGTATAGACATTCAACTCTTTCAAGAACAAACTCTCTCTCTCTTTATTGTCATTTTTTTGTTTGAGACTCTCTCTACATACATACTTGTTGTAAGGTTTTAAGAATGTCAGGGTTTCAGTTAGTGGAATCTCAATACCTAGCATAGGCTGCAAAGGTCAAAGTTCATATATTGCCAGGCCTCAGGAAGATGTGGATAGGTTATGACCACATTCATTTCTCTAAACCTAGATATTTTGTTCCAATTTATTTTGTTTAGTATTGTTTTTGGAGTTCGGTACAGACTGCAATTGACAACTTTCTGAGTAATTTTTTTGAGACAGTCTTAATCTCTGGTCAATTTAGGTTCTTTCCTATAATTGTTCTTTTAATACACTGTATGTATGAAGTCTTTTGTTAAAGGCTCTTTGTCGCAATGCTCATTCATTTTATTTTTCAAGGCTTTGAAGTACATGTAACAGAATCTGAAATTTGGAACGTTGAATGATGCTGTGTAATATTTAGGTTAATGCATGCATACACAGACTCTCTGGAGTCGCAGTCTTTTAATCTGAAGAATATTTCATTTGTTATTATGAATCTACCTGTTCACAGATGAATTTCAGAAAACAATATTTTAACTTGTATACTATGTGCCCCTATTTACCCATTTCACCCCCTAAGATCTCAATATTATTTTTCTAAATGCCTTTCATACAGTTTTTTTTGATATATTTGTGAGAATATTGATGTATTTCTAGTGTGTTAGGGAGAGTTGCTTATTGACCAGTCCATGAAGTAAAAGGGTTGGGAACTCCACGTGTTGGGTTTCCAACTGAAACAAAGGCCTCATTTCACTTTATTGTAATAGAATGTAATTATAAACTGACTATACCTTGCCAAGGTCACATTTTGTTCAATTTTGTACTGGAAAGCATACTACTTACTTGTACTGGAAAGCATACTACAGAATCTACTTGTTCATAAAAGATGGAAGCTGGAACCTTAAGTGGAATCTTTTGAGGAAAGAGATCACAGTTAATCTAAAAGCAATCTTAACTGTATGAAATTATTGGATATTTACTTAGTAACCAGCTGAAGTTTAGAAATACAGTCGAATATTCTTATTACCACAAACTTTTAAAAGCAATTAGGACTTTCCTCTGTGTAAAGATACTTACTATTTCTAATACGATGCTCCCTTTACTTGAAATTTCTTGAAACAAATCACGGGAATTTGAAGTCGACCCGAAAGTATCTGTCAAGTTCGACTTGTTACGTTTTCGCTCATGCCTTTCGAAAGTTGAACGTGACACGAAGTCATTACAATGAGCGCAGTAAATATATCCTTTCTTGTCATCGCACTCCATGCGTTCTATAAAGGAGATGCGAAAATGAAAACCCGTTGCTTTCAATTCAGATATTTTGACAAAATTTGCCGCTGCACATGGAACAAAATTTGCTGTTCCTGTCCGACGCAAGTACTGGCTAATTTGTGATGCATTTCCTATTGACAGTTCAGATTACAATTAGACTATCTTTAATGCGTCAATTAAAGATGTCAAAACAGCGAGACTCGTTTAATTCTCACCTCAAAGGTTAACTAAATGTATATTAATTAAAAACCTTCTTTTGTGCCAAAAAAGAGACCACTTAAAGGATGCTAAAAGATTTACGTTATTAAAGTTCACCTTATGTTCAATTAAAGATTCATGAAAGGTAACTGTTAGCTTTTGGATATTTCGGTTTACAATTAAAGACGCCTAAAGCTTAAGTCAACCTTTAGGGATGCTTTCGGTTTTGCCTAAAGGCACTGAAATAAGAGCATTCGTCCTGTGGTAGTAACGGAAACCAATTAAGAAGAGATTATGATGGCTGTTATGCTTAAGTTGTGCGATGGCAGTCGTATGAATCGGAATACCCAATTTAGAAAATATTTGTACAGATTGAGATATGATAGTGTCATAGATCTTAAAGTGATTCAGCAATGGAAATACTGTATGAAGTTGTATGTTTTGCAATTGCGTAACTAACTTTTTGGGTGATTCAAGACATGTTTGAACGCATTCAACCAGTTCGTTTCGTTCTGTCTGGTTTATACTTTCGTGAAGGGAAAGAAGAAGACAAGTTTTCTTTAACAAAAGTAGTTTTTTTCAGTTAAAACGATTTTTATATATCGTACTTGGAAAATGACATACTTTTCCTGTATAATGATGTTTTGATGTCATCATCCAAAAGGATTTGGCTCCGTCAGTGACAAGAACCTCACAAGTTGCATCAGTACGTGGTCACCCAGCAAAGTGCGACAAAACCTTGAAAGTTACTCTTCTGGCCAGTGAGTGGAATTCATCAAGGGGGGGTTTGTCCACCATCAACAGACACCTTGCCATCCTTATGGCTAAACGTAGCGAGGTGCAAGTCACTCTCTTGGTCCCACAATTTGCTTGTTCTGAAGAAGAGAAGAGAGCTGCAGAAAGTCACAAGATTGTCATCAAAGAAGCAGAGAGACGTCCAGCCTATGACCCTCTTGACTGGTTGAGCTTCCCTCCGGAAGACCTGATAATTGACGTGGTTGTGGGTCATGGAGCTAAGTTAGGTAAGCAAGCCCAAATCATCAGGAAGTACCATAGTTGCCAGTGGGTACAAGTAGTGCATACTGCGCCTGAAGAGCTCGGAATGTTCAAAAACTATCCGAGAGCCATTGCCAGAGGAGAAGAGAAGACTACAGCCGAAGTAGATTTGTGTAAATTGGCAAATCTAGTTGTTCCGGTGGGACCCAAGTTGACGGAGGCCTACTCTGCCTATCTTCGCTCATGTGGAAAGCAGCAAGATATTATGTCGTTCACTCCTGGTACATTCAAAGAGTTTTCTACTCTAAATCAAGCCTCAGTTGACTCTGAAAAGTTTAGGGTGTTGACCTTTGGTCGTGGTGACCCTGAGGACTTCGGTCTTAAAGGGTATGATATCGCTGCTAAAGCAGTGGTTGAGCTGAAAGACAACTCCTACCATTTGATCTTTGTGGGTGCACCTGATGACAAACAGGAGGCAGTTACGGAAAATTTGTTGCAGAATGGTATTTCTAAACGTCAGCTGACAGTGAGAAGGTTTTTGCAAAGCAAAGAGAAATTGAAAGATTGTTTTTGTGAAGTTGATCTCTGTATCATGCCATCCCGCACGGAAGGGTTCGGCTTAACCGCGTTGGAAGCCTTGTCAGCTGGTCTTCCCGTTCTTGTAAGTGGAAACTCAGGTTTCGGAGACGCTCTGCGCTCTGTACCATCCGGCAAATCTTTTGTGGTTGATTCTGAGGACCCCAAGGTGTGGGCTGAGGCAATTGCTGTTGTCCGAAAGAAGAAGAGACCAGAGCGTCTTAAAGAGATTGAACGACTGAGAGCATCTTATGAGGAGCAGTTCAGCTGGAAGAAACAATGTGACCTTCTTGTTGATAAGATGTGGGACAAAGTTGATGGCGCAGGTATGTTGATGATTTTTCTATTTCTTTCCGTAGACTTGTCTTTGGTTGTGGTATTCCAAATTTATCCTGTCATTGACGTGAATACATCTTGTACCTCGAAGTAGGTTTTTATTATATAATATGAAAGAGAATTTGTAAATTTTGGTGTAAATCACCAATATTCGCCAAAAAGGAAATGGTTTGTACAAACTGATAAGAGTGAATAGGAAAAAGCAAAAGAAATGAACCTGTAAAACCACTTTTACCCATCCCAAGTTTCATGATCTTTTTTGATGTGAGTGTATTCCAAAAAGTTAATGTTTTAGTGGGACAAATGTAACATTTTGTCATAAGGTCAGGTCAAAAGTCATCTGCTCCGGTTATTTACAAGCAATTATTGCTTTCTTTGCGACATAATTACTTTTTTAACGAAAAAAAAGGAAAAACGTAGCAATGAAGAATGTTAAATGACAAGTCTAGAATATTACCCGCGACGTTTTATCCCAATACTGTTTCCCATTCTCAAATGAAAAGACAGTGTTTGGTAAATATATATCAAGTCATTGGCCTGTCTTCCGAAGGACTTGACTGAGAACTCCTCGTACTTTTTAATTTTTAAAGTCTTCCCTTGCAGCTAAAAGAAGAGCAATTTGTGTTCTCATGAAATATTTTTCCCTACATGATCCTGCTGATAAGGAAAGATCTCGTTCATTTGAGGGCACCGCCCTTCATAAAAAAGAGATCTGAGTACCCGATTGGATAAGTGTCGCTCTCACCCCTGATTTGGGCGGATATTTCTTCACTAACAGTGAGTTCGGGCCGAGTCAGATCATATACAAGTTTCACGCAGCTTGCCATGGCGATACCGATGGAGTTCTCAGTGGGTTAAAAAATATTCACGGTGAACTGAAAATTCTGTCTTTTATGTGATTTTTTCTTTGTCATAACTGAAACCTTCCCTTCCATCTACATTGTATGATTCAAGGAAATTCACCAAAAATTATTTTGGTTCTAGGGCTGCTTGAACGAACTATTCAGAATCTTCAGCGGATGCAACTCTGCGCAAGCACGGTTAACAACAGCACTACCTTGACAGAAGAGTTAACGACGATTGTATCAGATAAGGGCCTCAGAATTTCTGACAATCAAGGGTCAGGAAACTGTATGTTCCATGCCTTGTCAGAACAACTAGAAATCGTAAAAGGAATCAAAATCCAACATGGCCAGTTGAGACAGTCTTTAGTTCAGTACCTCATGGAAAACCCAAAACTGGTGAGTTGCTGTAATTCTCATAAATAAAAAGAACTAGAGGTTGATCAGTAGTTTTGGCTACTGTGTTTCTTTCTCTCTCCGTTACTTGAAGTGCTACTCGTCCTTGCAAGGATACTAGTCCCTTTCACACCAGATTTCTTCAAGCATTTTTTGAGGTTGGCCTGACAATTGTTCCACAACTTTTCCGCTCGTGGAGAGAGGCACTTTGACAGTGAGGTGTCTTCTCCTAAAGCACGATAATAAAGTCACTCTAAATAGGATTTTGTCGAAAGCTGTTATAGTGGATTTCAGTACCTCAAGCGGTAGGCAACGTAGTCTCTGCTCACTTTCTCATCTAATTCAAATGGACTCTCTGGTAGAGTGTTGTACTTAGTTATGTAAGTCGCAAGCTTCGAAAAATATTTATTTCAGAATCAATTCAGCATCAATGAGCTACCGTCAGTTTAGTATGGCTCTGAATAAGGCGAAATGTGTTTTGAAGTCCTTCATACTAGTCTAAAAGATGTTCTTCCTACACAGAATGTTTTGGTTTTCTCTATTTATTGACTTAGTTTACATTTTACTCGCATAGTCGCATTTGTTTAAATTCTCATTTTTTAGAGTTGTGATGGTACCTATGAAAGGCTCAATGTTTAATTGTAATATGTTAATGGCGAGTCTGTCTGTCACTGAATGGGTCAGCGATCATATTGAGACGCAACCGCCGCTGCCCATTTAGATTCTTGTGGTGGGACAGTTAGGTGATGTTTGTTTTAGCTTTTGCTGTTTGCCCACCGCGTTGAAAGCGTTAAAAAGTTTTCACTGACGTTTCCACTGTAAAGAAGTTGTTTTCTCGGGAGATTTCCTTGAATTATGCTCGACCCTTTTCGAATAGCTATTTGGTATTCAAATATTAATGGCTGTCTCTTCTTACAGCCGGATGGAACAGATCTGTTTCACTTTGTCCATGGCCATGAAACATGGGCTGATTACTTAGCATATATGGAACAAGATGGCGCTTGGGGTGATCACCTCATTCTCTGTACAGCAGCAAATCTCTTTAAAACGTGCATTCATGTGGTCAGCAGTCTAGACAATGATGTAGACATCAGGCCACATGATCCTGTTGATGAAAGCAAGCCACTAGTACTGGGACATATTCATGAGGTACACTATGTCAGTCTTCAACCCATACAAGGTAAGAAGGGAAAAGCGCACGTCACATGCCTTTCAATTTGATAGTGATGAAGATCGATTAACATCAGTAGCGAAATTCGAAAACCTTATGTTTCTTGCGGAAAGCACCAGCTGCGTCGAAGGGTTAATCCTGGAACTGTTCACGCTTCTCGAGTCACTACCATGGTTAGTTTGTTGATCTTTCTCAGAGATAACTGTAAGAATAAATTAAGCTGTCCACTTTCCTTCTGGTAAAACACACCAGTGTCTTTAGTGACTTGAAACCATTGCTACCGTTTCACGAGTTGTGCATGATCATAAAACAAACTACAAACAATACCTTTATTTTTTTCTTCTTCTTTTATATTCCCAGTGGTTTTTAGAAATTATAGCGGATTTACTTGAAGTGATCTTTTACAGTCTGTTTGAAAAGATGGCAACGGAAGAAAACGTCTGTAAAGCGAATGATGTATTCATTCATCTGGTTCTTAAATAATATTAAGAAATGCTATTTTTATTTAAACAAAAGTCACTTAGTGGCGGGAGAACATTGTAAATCATACAAGCTTAAGTCAGAGGTATTCACGAATCACACTTGCTGAATGCACCTGAGGACCAGGGAAGGTATTTTTGCTAGAACACTTGCTTCCCACCATTGTGGTTGGGTTATATCCAGGACCTTGCTTCTCATGTCGGCTAAGATTTTTGTTGATCCGCGCCTTTTCTCTCGGCGTTCTTCAACAGGTTCTCCCTGTTTTTTTTTTCTTATTAAATTAACATTCTGAATTCCAATCACTATGCGGAGAACCATTTCCTGGGAAATGTGAAATGTTTGTTCATTAATTTTGGTTTGTTTTTTTTGTTGCATTTACAGGCTGAAATAAAGTTTTTCGGCGCCTATGACTACAGACCAGGAAACATTTACGAAGAAAGAGAACGCAACCAGAGAAAACTGCGAAATTTTAGGAACTTCTCTAACGAAACTCTATTTTAAGCTGAAAAAGTAAGCTTTAGATGAAACATAGCTTTTTAGAGGTCGCAGGTTTTTCGGTTTGGATGAGCTTAAGTCACTGAATCGCTATCGAGTTTTCGTGGTTTGATTGAAATTTTGATATGGAATAATTCTTAACTGATTGTAGAAAGTAATCCCGTACTGCTTTGGTTTTCTTTATTTCGGTCTGTGATTGGTCTAGAAACTCTCACAACGTGTGAAACAAAGTACACGCCAAACAAAAGAGAATCGTGACTGGTCGTTTTCCCCAATTTTAGTTGTTGGCCTGTATTTCCTTTAAAACCTCATTGGCTAATAACGATGCAAAAGTTCGTTATTATTGGCTGTTGTAATTACTTTGATTTTTGCCGGCCAATTGAAAATTGCTCCGAGAAAAAACAATGAATTGCGTATCTTTGTTCAGCAATTATGGAACATCACTCATCCAGGATATTCTTATATCTTATTGGTGCCATTGTACTTTGGATGTTCCCGTTGTGTGTTGACTTTTACAAGCTGAAATTGACGGTGTGCTTTACATTGAAGTGCTTGGAGTGACTCACGAAATTTATTTTTTTGCTTATCATTTGCCTTTATTACATATTAAAAGAAGAACAAAGCTAATCTGCATAGATAATACATGGGAAATATAAAATAGGAAAAGGAAAGGCGAGGAAGTCCGGAAAAGCCATGAAGGCTTATAGGTGAGGCTCCCTCTTGAAATTAGAGTTTAAGTTAAAGTAGAATGTAGAACGTAATTTAACAAGTGTAAAGTACGAATTACGGAAGTCGTGGAACGCAGTACCATGGTGGTTGTCGATCACTTTTGCTATCAGCCTTGGAAAATAACCCCAGTGCCCTGGGGAACCTTTCGAACTCCTCACCTTGAGAGACTTAAGGCAGGCAATGCTATCATGAGTATGATGTTTGAGTCTACTGCCATAATACTCTGTTAACTGTCTGTTATTATTTACTCAATTTATTTACTTATAAGGCGATTCCTTTTGAAACTTGCCAATGAAGTCTGCCATTTAGACCTCAGTTCCACTGGTGATTGAGTGGTTTTTCACAAGTGTGTCTCTTGCTATTGAAACACGTTATCAGAATGTGCCAGTTATGGCTGTTTGGCGAAGACATTGGAAGAGACATGTCTCAGTGGCATTGTTAATGCGATTCCAGTAGCTCTGTGGTCTAGTGGTAACCAGTTAGATGCTATATATTATCAATTTAGCAAGGATCTACCACCCATATAAGATCTTTCCTGCAAAATCCCCCTTTCTTGAAATCGGAGATGTTTGACAACCGAGTTTAAGACTACGTAGAAGTCTGCTAAGTGTCCAACGTAGGCTTTTAGTTAGATGCATTAAAGGATTTGAATGAAAATTTCCGATTGTTAATTCATTATCAAATAAAAATTCAATCGACCTTTGTCTTCATATACATTTGTAAAAGCAAGCATTAAAATCGAGTATTTGTAGAGTATCACAGTTTTGTACTGCACTATATGTTGAAAAAGATAAATAGACTATGAAATACAGTAAAATAAAAAGATTAGAACATAGAAAGGTTTTCCTTTTGTTGTCTGTTTTCTCCTACATTGTATTTTCCTTTCTCGACCATGAAACGCCTGTAGAAGGAAATTATCGGGAATACTCAGTTCAAACTGGCTGAAACTTTAACTAAACTGAACTGGGAGTGTTTGGTTATATTTTCGAAGATAATCAAATGTTCTTTGGAGCTATGTCTTAACTATTTGATTAAGTGGTGTCCTTAACTCCTTTCCAGGTAATAAGTGTCCAACTTGGACTGTGCTTGTGTTAAAACGTATATAATCTTGATGAGTAGTATTTGATGTATTTTAATGTATTTGTATTCTGTGGAAATGGTACGTGAGAGTAGCCTTTACTTTTGAGAAGTTATTCAACCTATGCTCTTCAGTGCTATGACCAACGAGTTAAGAAATAGTCGCCGAGACTAAAAACGTATTAAGCTGCAAGACAAAGTCCACCTCAGGGAGGTCAAAGAAAAACAAAAAAAAAAAGAACAAATTCCAGATGGCCGAACTACAAACATTAAAAAACAGGAAACAAGTTACAACAACAATGTAATATAACAGAATGTATATCGAGGTGAAGATATAGAGGTACAAAATTACAAGGACATAGAAATAATATAAAAAATCACTGAGATTATCGTAAAACTGAGAAAAGCGGACAAACAAACTGCTAATGCATTAGACTTGGGTGCGTCGAAAATGGACTCGGAGAAGCCCCTGATAAAAATTCCTGCAATGTCAGTAAAAGTAATGATGCCCCCGACAAGGGAATGGTAAGGAGACTCGAACACGAAGAGCATGGGCCAGAACGGGACGGGGCCCAATTAGGGTACGATAAGAGTACCCGCAGCTTTATAATGCGCAAGATACCTGATAGTCGAGGAATCAAGGTCACTAGGAGTACTAGCCAATTATTCTCCCAAACCCAGTCGTAGCAAGAGGTATCGACTCCTTCACAACCGGCGTTTCAATAGCGCGAATAGAAACTGGTAGAAACTTGTCGCTGTCCGATAAGCCTACCATTCATAAGCCTAATATTGTCTTTCCAGAGAGTGAGTTCATCTCTAATAGATGGGGGCAAAGATAAATTGACGTCCCAACCCGTTCCAAGAACAATAGCCATTTTAAGGGATTTAGTCATGAGGTTGGTGACGAGGAAAGGTCTAAAAATCTTAGTAAAGATATAAGGGGCCGAAGAAAGGCCATAGGGAAGGACTCGAAAGAAAAAGTATCTAACCTTATCCTTGTAATACCATGAAACCCTAAAAAACACTGGTGAGAAGAGAAAATCTCTACATTATGTAAACCACTCTTAATATCAAATGAGAACATAAAAAGACTTGTATCCAAAAAATTCAAGGCAATCTAAAGATCCTCAAACTTAACTCTCTACTTCCACAGGTGCTTATTAATAAGCCGCAAATCTAAGATTATTGTCTTCTTGCCTGAGGACTGTACAGATACAGACAAAGGATTTACGTTATGAGGTAGAGCATCCGTTTCAAAAATACGATTAGTGAGTAGCAATTCAGATATTGCTTCTGCAACGAAGCCCGCATTGGCTGAGGCAGACTTATTGTTATTAGAGAAGCCAACAGGGGGCATGGAATAAAGAGGGATACGATATCCTGACTCAATCACATCTAAAATATACGGTCAGGCACCTATATATTTCCAAAACTGAATGTGGGTCTTAAGTCTACCCGCTACCATTATATGAGAGCTTAACCCCTGCTCATATTCATAGAGACCATGATCTAAATCTACGTGTTCATGAGAAGGAATTAGAGACTTATCTCTGTCCGGTAAAAGCGTGGAGCTTCCTGCGTCCATTAAATTCGCTTGCTGGGCTGACTAGCTGAGGGCTGAACGCCGCGAAAAGGACACTGGCTTCGAAAATGGCCAAACCTTCCACAGGCAAAACAGGATCCTCGCAGGGCGGGCGAGCTTCTGGGCCAGATAGTAGAGGAAGTATTCTGTGATGGTGTGGCAGAAAGTGCTGGAGTTTGGAGAAAAGGGCCAGGAGAATGGACAACCGCAGGGCTGTTGAACGGAACGGACGAAAGCGCTGGATATAGTGACCTCTGGGAAGTAAGAATTGTTTTTCTCTGCGATTGGGTGCGACGGCGCTTCTGATACGCTCTTGCCTCGGCCTGTCTTATGCGCTTGCCGTCATCACTATTGTTTGGGAGGTCTCTGCGCTCGTATTCGTTAACTACTTCCCAACCTTCTTCAGTGGAATCGGCTATTAAGATAAGCTTGTTCCTAGGAGGGAGCTTTTTCTCACCTTCTTTTAGTTCTTCAACGGCTTTTTCAAATTGCGGTGGCGTAGACCAAAGGAAGAGGAGGTCGACTAAGCATGATCAAGGACTTATGTGCTCACCTCAACTTGTTTCTCGTTACTTTTCTTCTTAAATTTTGGTGTTGATGAAGCCGTGGATCTAAGTCTTTTTTCTTCGGACAGTTCTCTCTTGAGGGATGCAAAGCCAACGAGAAGCTTCTCTTTTAGACTCGATAAGTTATTGGCGAGATTAAATTCAGGATCGGACGGCATTTTAACGTAAAGCTTGAAAAGTTCGAGAGTGAGTTTATTCATAATTTGTAATAGACCAAATAAAAAGATGTACGAAATGGAGTCAGCACATTTTCTGTTTTTTTTTTCGTTTGTGTTTTTTTAACTCACAACTCCATACTAATGTTTTGTAAAGTTGTCTTGATGGGAAGAGTTCCTTAGTATCAGAGACCGTTTGAACAGGTCCTTAGTGTTAGCTCTTGCCCTTGCTTCGAAGATTTTCTCTGAGTTCCAAGAGTTTCCTCTTTCCACCCGCCAGCCACCTTAAATAAAGACGAAATGTCTTTTCTTTTTGTTTGTTACTTAAGTAACAGGTCTTACAACCACCATTTTCAATTCCGTCTGTGAATCAATTCTTTGTAAGAACCTGTTTCGTTTACAAGTGACGCAGAACAAAGAAGACACAGAAATAAAAGGAGTAGGGGGCTGGGGAAACAGTAGTAAAAGACAAACGAAAATCAACTAGTCCTTAAACCGAGATAAACTTTTATTTGTTTATTCAACATTAAAAATCCGTCAGATTGGGTCCACTCATACAGGTTCAAGATTAATTACCGTGAGGTGCATTGAAACAGTGTGATGAATCTTTCGATCTATATTCATGATTGTGGTCCTTAATATTGGATTATTCGTCCTTTTAGACCTTTCAGTCAATTCGTCTTGGAATAGTGATCAATTGACCGCTCTCAAATCAAAGTCACGCACATCACGCATGGGTTCAACTGGATCGGGTTTCGTTCATTAGATAAAAAGAACGTTCATTGCCTGGCAGCTAAGCGTTCGCTGGGCCGAATAAAAGCGGAAGTGATCTTTGAATCAACTGGAGTGTTTATCTGCTGTTTAGACGAAGGTCATCTGCTGTTTAGACGAAGATCATGGTTTTTTGTTTACTATCTCTCGCTCCTGTATTGCCTTTAGTTCTTTATGCTGTGGTAAGAAATGTTTGATGTATTTTAAGCGTAAAATAAGGTGGAGCTGCAAAGTAAATATAAAAGATGCAATCAAGGTTAACTTACATGTCAGGGAAGAATTCGACAACTAACCTTTCTGATTTACTTTGAAATATGCACTACGTACGTCAAAGAATCGCAGTTGAAGCACAATAATTGAAAGTTGTTAGAGTATTTAGTTGTTTGATTTTGAACTGCTTTTATGTTCTCTGATATCATGATGATATCAGGAGAGAAAGCGAGTGATAATTTCATCTCGAGTAATTAATTTAAAGTAGTTTGGAATTTATTGACTGAAATTTTTTTCTGTAAGAGGGAATGTTATAGTTTGAAAAATAGGTTTGTGGTTCAATCGGCAAAGGTACCAAGACATAACAGTCAGCTGATAAATTCCGCACAGCTCCATAAGGCGACTCATTTATGCTTACTTATGTTTTACTTGGATAAAGAAAACAATGGCGTAAACGGTGACGAGACTACGGCTTTGTTTCAGAATAGTACGGGGCCATACGGAAATCTTTGTTTTCTTCTTTAAGAGGGAATGTTGTGATTTTATTGAAGGGTTTATTTTTCATTTGGCTAACGTATCACGTCATATAATTCCGTTGATAAATCTTAAATTCTATGAGTTAAACCAGTTTTCAAATATTTCATATGATGAAGAATCTATAAATGAACATTTAATCATTTGTCCCACAATGTAAGAGTCAGGCTAATAATTGTGTATTGATCGCAACATTTCAACTGCTTTACTGTTAGTCTTTGTCAGGCAATGAGGTTGAAAGTTTAAGTGTTGCTATTTATAGCACCTTGGTTTGTTGTTATTGGTGTGTTTTGAAAGTGCTGTCATTGGTGCATTTTAATCCTCATTATAATTCTGACTATCAGACGTTGTTCCCTCATGCTTCTGATATTTTTGCTATTGGCAATTATGCTTTTTGATAGTAAACATCTTTTGTCACTTAATTACATGGTCCTGATCTCCATATGGGTCTGGCAACTGGTCAATTTGGCAACAGTTAGAATTTCATTCCAATGATTTGGGTAGAGTTTTACTTGCATATACATGATTGGCAACTGGATATTAGATTGCATTGTTGGCAACTAGATCTCTAGATTGCGATTTTGGCAATGGGATATTAGATTGCACGGTCAGAAACTAGATCTTTAAATGGCGTGGATGCAGGGCGTGAAATTGCGCCTAATACAGGCGCCAATGCGACTAAATTTTTCACTTGGGCGACCAAATCCTGAAAGTTAGTCGTCAAATTGGCGACTACAACGTTTCATCATAACCTTACTAAGAGATATAGTGAATTAAATAAATTTTCAAAGATAAATCCGCGGCAAACTTCCTCGTTAAGTTTGTTTCCAAAACGTAGCACATGCATCTCGATCGATAACTAGACGCCATCTTGGATTTAGATGAGCCTGACCGTTGGATATCATACATCCTAGTGTCCACTTTGTAGCACGTTAAAGATCTTTTCCCTAACTTAATTTTGGAGGGTCTATCTAGAACGCTGACAGTGTAAAGAAAGATTTTGTTTGTCTTTGAAAATGGCGACCAACTTTTTTTGAATTGGCTACCACTTTGAAGAATTTAGGAGCCAAGTGGCTATCAGAAAAAAAAGTTAATTTCACGCCCTGGAATGGCAACTAGATCTTTGGATTGCTTGGTTGCAACTACATCTTTAGATTACATGGATGGCAAATAGATCTTAAGTTTGCACTGGTTGCAACTACAGTGCACATGATCTTTTGATTGCATGGTTGGTTTAAAGGTGCAAAACTCTAGATCAAAAATCTATCTTTCAAATACTCTTTACCCCCACAGTATCAACCAGTGCTTTTCATTCAACTAGTTTATTCTTGTTTTCTTATCACCATATTCCTACTGATAGCGTAGCTCCATTTTGTCCATAAAAACACACACACAACCCACAATTTCTCCATTCACAAAGGGCTAATGCTCAAAACATCAGCTTTTAAACTCTCTATATGGTGGCAAATTTGTGTCATCAACTCAGCTGATAATACTAAACTACCCTGTTATACTCTCCCACTGATGCGGCACCAGAATTTCCTTAGAAACTTACACCCCTTATTACTCAATCTTTAGATTGCATGGTTGGCAACTAGCCTTAGTGGCATGAATCAAGAATGGCTTTTGACATAATGATTATATTTAAGTAAAGGAGAGAATGGTGAGGTTAGATGTCAGAAACTGAGCCAGCACAGTCAACTGGACTCATGTGAATGACTCCATAGAGCCAGTGATTCTTCTCTATGCCATTCACTAAGTAATCAGGGCTCAGGGAAGGTAGTGCACTGTGGTGTCACAACGACTAACTGTGATATAAAATCAAACCAAGGGCTACTAAAGAACTTTTGGAGAATAGCTGATTTTATCAGAGTTGCAAAAGCCCTTTTTTAGACATTACAAGTGATAAGTAAATGAAAGAAATTAGGTAATGGAAGTATAACAAATAGATGAAAATATCCTTGATAAAATAATTGCAAACACACAAAGCTCAGCCACATGAAAGGAGCCAGTTGAGCAAACTGGCTGTCAGAGCTAACTGCCTACTGATTGATCATCAATGCTTTGTTACTCATACCTGCCCACATAAATCTGACTGTTGGTTCATTGCCACTTTGGACATTACCCAATTTAGTCAATGCATGGCTCAGAGATACCTTAAATAAACTGAATCCTTTGTAGGATACAATCCATTGTCAATCAAAGTTTTTACTAGTGTGTTAAATTATGATAGCTTAACACAGAGAATTATCTTTGCAGCTGTTGTGAATGTTACAGGAGACCTAATTTTGCAAAAATTCATATTAAAACAGGTTTTCTTTTTATTGACCTATTATGTGCCTGATGTGTTGATCGTATCTATGTATATGTGTGTGTGTGTGTGTGTGAAATTTGCATGGCACTTATAATTCTTCTTTCTTTGTTATTTTATATCAAGAATTCTTATAAAAAGGCTTTTTTGGTGGAAATTGTTTTCTTATTGGGAAGGATTAATTTCTTAGGAAGGTGAGACAAAACAGAACATAAATCCTCCTGTAGTAACCTCTAGATCATATACAGTAAACAGTTTTACTTGCTGTCAATCAACATCCCCTCTATTTTATTCAAACCACTTGTTTACGTCAAAATATTATGAAAAGATCACATACTCAATAAATGAATTTGCTTGCTGGAAAATAATGTGGGGGGGGGGGTGGGGGACACCCCTGGGTGAGGCTTTTCCAACAAGTGTTTTTTTTTTAACCTAGTTAACTGAATTTATTTTGTTAGTAGTTTGAAATTTCGAATTCCAGATCAAGATGGTTTTGAACATATTTGATTGTTATAAATCCCTTTGTTCTAACTACTTTTCTATAATTGCTTTGTTAAAAAAAAACCTTTCAAGGAAAAAAACCCAAATTATTTAAACAGTATAATTGCTACCGGCAACCTGTGTCTATTTAACTTAATATGTATTTTCAAGATACAGTGGAGATCAACTCTGTTTTGTAATTTTATGGAAAATGTTTTGATTGTTGTTTTTTTTAGCAGCTTGAGTAGTTAACAAGTAAATGCTTACTTGCCCAGGGAGAAGGGGGATTCCTTAAGTCTTATTGAACAACACACAATGTCACTCATTTTATTATGAGATGCTTTGTATCACTCTTGATGTTCACAGATGAAAAACAGTGGCAAAAGAAATATAGAACTGACATATTTTTTGGCAGCTGTAGGTGAGTGCAAACGATAGTAATCTAATTAATGGTCAATTTATCATTATAACTTAAATTTTTAGTTTTTGTTTCCTCAAAATATACATGTAAGATACTTTCACAGTCGTGTCACAGAAAATAACTATTACAGGCCAATAGTTGATTGATGTCTTCTTTCTACAGTTGTAAGCTTTTCAAGTTCAAGTATGTGATTTTTTTGCTGACCTTTGCACTCCTCATCATATCTCAAAAAATGATCTCAAGTTCTTTAATTTTTTTGTTTTTTGACCTCTGTTATGAAACAGGAGGGCCCGATGTGGGCAAATCGCACTTGCTGAACAGATATGTTAATGGCAATTCTCATGACACCGAAACTTTTCGCGAAGGTAAGAAAACGTTTAACAATGAGCATAAAAATGATCAAATGATTTTTTAGAAAGTTCAGCAATCTAAGTCTTAAGCCATGTTCATTTGTCCTTTCAGCGAACATCCTTCTTAAAAGAGTACGTCTGGATTATGACACGATAGTAACACTTCTAATGTGGGATATTTCTGTTTCGCGCTCATTCCTCGCGAAAGGAAACGTTCTTGTTGTGTATGACATAACACAGAGACGTTCATTTGAGAAAGCAAAGGAGTTGGTTGATGAGTTCGCTCAACGGGCCGGGCCAGGTGCCTTTGTAGCTCTTGTGGGGAATAAAGCGGATCTTGAAAGTAGAAGGGAGGTGTCTTTTAAGGTAAGTAATGTGGCCATGTTTATATAATGCTAATGTGCTACATGTGGTAAACATGAAATCACGTAGGTCAGAAGGTTTTTTTTATGGTTTTTGTAGAGAATGATGCAAACCATCTTTGAGAAAGAATGGTAAAGTGAGGTGGTTTATGAAAGCTCTTTG